TTTCTGTGGTGTAACTACCCCCACCATGGCAAATCTCAAGCTACCAACCTGCCATCAAGAGGCTGATAAAATTTCTGAAAATGTAGCAGCTCTTCCTGGCAAGCTGATGCAAGCCAGCCAGCTGGACAGGCATCACTAGGTGCAGTGCTAGCCACTGTGCACTGTGCATAGTCCTTCCATCCTTCCTGGTCAGCTTGATGGAAATGGGGTTCTACTGAGGCCACTCAGTGCCAGACTGCCTAGGACACTGCAACCTTGGTTTCCACAGTGAGTAACTATGTGATCTCAGAGAAGTTGCTTAACTTCTCTAAGCCTCAGTATGCTTAGCTCTAAAATTAGTTTTTATAAGGCTTTGTTGAGCTCACAGCTGTGAGGCACAGGGCCTGGCACATAGTAGGTATGCCCTGAAGCTTTAACTGCTTTAATTGTTAATATGACCACCTAGAGTTTATTGTCTGTTTCTTGTCCAGACATCCTGGACAGTGTGCCTGCCTGACGCTGGGCCCCTGCAGGTTTCCTGGTGTTAGGTCATATTAACCTTCTGAATGGTTGTGGTGATGGTGCAGCAGCAGCCTAGCTGGTTGCTAGGAAAGCCACTGGCCAGGGTTTTGTTGTTTTGTCTTTTTATCACAAAATTGCAAATGGTCTGAAGGGTCCTAGAACAGTGGATAGAGCCTCTTCCCATGTGGGGCCTGAATCGTGTCTGTGATGTCAGAAAAAAATATTATTGCATGAATAGTGGTAATTAGCATGCCATCTGCATACTTTTTTCTATATAAGAGCTTTGACAATGTTTTTCAGTCCCATGTATGGGGCAAGAGGAAAACTGGCAGTTGTCTGGATTTACATTAATTCCCTAAATTGTTTATCCATCTCTGTTTTAACGACCATTTCCCATCCTTATCTAGGCTTTGGTGGCATTACCTATTGCTTTCTGGAAGCTGTATCTGTGGTAAGAAAACTGTCGGGGGGGGAAATTAACTTGAAGCCACAGTTTTCTGGTTTCATGGTGAAATCGATGCAAGCCATTCTACTACCCCTTAATTAACTGCTCACTCTCTAATGAGGGCTTTTTTTCTTAAAGGTTCCTGTTTTTTAAAATCAGTCAAGTCGCCAGGAAATTACAATCAATATTTTAACAATTTCTCACTTGTTCCTATTGTGCTTCTTTAACATATTCAAGGATATTAAAATTGTTTAAGAACACATCAAGGAGAATTGAGTCAACTTGTTTCCCAATGACTCTCTGCCCTACTGGAGCACAGTGCCATTTGTCCTCTGCAAGTGCCCAGATCTGGCTCCTTACCTGGCACCAGATGTAGCAAGAGCTTGCAAGGTGTTTAAACCTACCTGCAGGACCCGAGCTCCCACCTGAGCTCTTCATCTAGTCAAGTTGATTCAGCACTTACCTCCTATCTTTGGGAGTATTTGGGACAATTATCAGAACATCATCCTCTTCTTTGAGGGCTGATGACCGATGAGGCAGGCAATCTGGTAGGGGTGGCCCTGCGCATAGAGGAACTTCAACTCTCACTACACCCTGATAAGGCAGGTGCTACCATGACTCCATTTAGCAAATGAGAGCTACGAGGCCCCAGAGGTCACACAGCTGGAAGGGGCAGAACTTGCTGGTGCCCCAGCACCTGCTGCCTCCCACATCGAGTTCCATATGCTTCCCCCACATGCGGCAATTTCTGTCCTCAGTTCTGTGTCCCTGTAAGGTCATGGTCTCCAGTCTACTGTGGTCAGAGAACTCAGGTCCCCAGGGCCAGGGCTCTATGCAAATGAGGAGTCCACAGCCCTGAGCCAATGCCCCAGAAGCCTGGAGCTCCAGAGCCTGGGGGCTCTGGCTTTGCTGATGGGCTCTGGGGAGGTGGCCTCTGCCTGGGTGAGGCTGGCTGCAGGGGGCTGGAAGCTGAGGGAGCAGGTGGAGGTGGTATGCCCCTTGGGCACAGGAATGGCCTCTGAGCATGCATGGGGTGGGGGTGCCAGATCCCATGCTGGGCCCGGCCACATCCATCATCCATCACCTCACTTCCTATTGCTAAGTCTGGATTCTGCCATCCAGAGGACTCCACGAGGCCCCCTCCCCACAGCCAAGGAATCCATCAAGGGAGTCTTTTGGGAAACAGCAAAAGGCACAGTAAAACTATGGAACAAGGAAAAGCTTAGGACAAAAGCCTGAGGAGTCTGAAAAAGCCAGTCTGGGCCAGGGATAACCAAGAGAGGGAGGGCACCTGTGCTGTGATGGGACTCAGGACAGGTTTTATTGAGGAGGAGGACTTTGAGATGAGGCCCGAGGGCTAAGCAGGATTTTGACAGGAGAACCAACATGAGAAAAACACGAGCAAAGGCACAGAAGCTGGGGCTTGTGTGAAGCAACAAGAGAATAATCTAGAAATAGAAGCTAGTGCGCACCTATGGAGGATCTTGAATTTGAGGAGTTGGGACTTAGCGCCATCAGTAGCAGAAAGCCAGGCTTTAGAGCAAGGGGACAATGATGAGAATAGCAACTCTGTGTGTGGTTTCTTGTTTCCATTCTCCATGGGCCCTACCTGCACAGGCCCAGGCCGGCACAAAATTCAAGAGGCTGTCCCAGTTAAGCATATGTCATGTGAACTTGGGAAAAACTTGGCATATGTTCACAGGCAAATGACCATGAATAAAAGGTGGCTGGTGATTGTTTTCAAATCTATTGAGCTCTAGATTTGGGTCAGACTAAAGGCAGAGTGCATATTGGCCTTGGCAAGGTACCCCTGGACCCCAGTAGTCCAAGCCCAGCCTTTTGTGGCACCCACTTAACAACAGGGCCAGGAGTTCCCCAAAGAGAAGGGCAGCTCCTTGAGACTCCTATGGGAGCCCTTACCTTACCTGGACCTGAAGGCCAGGGCTGTATGCACTAAATTTGGGTGGCCATGCAGCATTTGAAAATGGCTCAAGCTTACTGCTCTGACACTCTTGAACTGTGTTCCCCTGAACACGTGCCCCTATCTGTCTAAGCCTCCCATTTACGCATCTAGAACACAAAGATGATGATTGCTTATACCTCATGGGATATGTGGCCTCCTGATGGTAAAGCAAGTCTAGGTCTAGGTTAATGGAGGAAGATGTGCTGCTAGCTCAAGACTTGATCTTGCACTTTGGATGACAAAAGAGCCCTGGCTATCATAGGCAGTCTACTCAGTGAGGAAAAGCCTCACACAGCCTGTCTTTCATTTTTCTATTAACCTTGGGGTATCCAGGCAGCACCTGTGACTCAGTGGGTAGGGTGCCGGCCCCATATACCAAGGCTGGTGGGGTCAAACCTGGCCCCACCCAGCTAAAACAGCAGTGGCAACTGCAACAAAAAATAGCCCTTAGTGACATGACTGAGGCTGGCTTCATGTTGCTAACACAAAGCTCTTTGCTGCTCTCCATCCTTCTTAACCTTCATGTACTTACACGTGAACTTACTTTCACATATGATGATGATATCTATGGACCCCTTTAACAGTGTATATGTATAGCCCAGTGACCCCTAGAGTTTTCCTGCAGTTCCAGGAAAACAGACCCTACTAATATTCATTGAACAGATGCTCCATGCCAAGCACTGAGCACTGCCCTTTTGGGATCAGCCTATAAAGGAGGCCAGCTAGTGGTGAGGGCTAAAGAGCAAACAAAGCAGGGAGGGGAGAGGAAGTGCCAGAGGTGGGTGTGGGGCTTTGAAATGTTACATAGGGTGGCCAGGTGACATTGGTGTCAAGACTAAAGGAAATGAGGAGCAGGGCCCTGTGGATATCTGGGGGAAGTGAATTCCAGCCCCAGGGAACAGCTAATGCAAAGGCCCTAGTAGGCAGGAATGTAGCCAGTGTTGGGAAGAGTCAGGAGTGCAAGAGGGGAGATGATGTCATTGAGATGGGGGAGGGGCATTTCAGGCAGTGCCTCACAGGCCATCAGAAGCACTTCAGTTTCATTCTGAGTGAACTGGGGAGCCACTACTGGGTCTGGCAAAGAGATCAGGGAACAGACTTAGAAGGAAGGGGAGAAGGGAGGAAAGAATCAATCCAGCAGTCTGTGAGGCTGCTATGTAGGTAATGGGGGGAACCTGCTGGCTGGCACCCCTGGGTGGCAGTGGAGGAGCAGAGAAGGCTGAACTTGTGGATTTATTTTGAAGATGAAGACAACAGAATTGTGGGGTGTGAGCAAAAGAGAACCAAGGAAGACTCTGGGCATACAGTCTGGGCAGTTTGAAGGATGGGGCTGCCTCTGAGCCTCCTATTTCCTCATCTACAACATGAAGATGATGTAAAAAAGGTGGGTTTGCAGAATGATCAGGAGCTCAGAGAGGTCGGGTCAGGGGGAATTTAAGTGTCTCGTGGCCATCCAGGTGGTGGTGCCAAGCAGGCAGTTAGCCAACTCACAGACGTGTGGCTGTGATCTCACAGGCTTCTCAGGACATTCTGGGGGAAGAAGCACGACCTGTCCCAATGGCGAGGCAGAGAGCTGCTGATGGGATGGTTGAGTGGAGGTACTGGGAACAGAGTCCCATGTTCCATCTCCTTGACTAGGGAGTTTTCAGAGAGGCGGTGGAGATTTTTAAGTGTCCTGCCTGGGGTCTGTGGTACCCACCAATAATTCCCCAGTCATCTTCGTTTAATTGGATTCCCTTCAAGAAACTCAAGAGCTCTCTCAGCTCTAGGTAGGCACTGGTAGCCCTGAGATGACTTTCCTTCCCAGAGGGGACTTGAAGGTAAGGACTGCGATGGGTTCAGCCACCAGAGAGCAATGACCTCCTGTCTCTGGCCCTCTTCCAAAGCAGACAAGGCTAGGCCCAGTCAAGGTGGATTCCTTCCCAACAGCCCTGCTGAGCTGTGCGTCCCCCCTCGCCCCATTGGACCATAAGCCCTGGCGCCAGGGCTGTGGAATCAGAGTCCCCAGCCACCTGAGCCTCGCGGTTGGGCCCTGGCTGCCGCTCCTCCATCAAGAAACTTCGTGAAACGCCCAGCTCCGTTACGCAAACGCAGCCCACGGAGAGATTTCGCTTGGTTCTCGGAGGGGCCCCAGTGTGTGCTGAGGGCCGAGGGCGTGGGCGTGAGGGAAGGAGGGGCTGAGTGGGCGGCGGGCCCACCCCTTTATTCGTGGCCTGCGGCTGGGCTGAGCGTGACCAGATGTGTTGGTAACAGGTCGCTACTCTGAGGTGCAGGCAGGAGACAAGCGCTGCAGCTGTCGGAACAGAAACAGCGTCCCCCGGCTGTGCTCAGCCCCTGGAGCCGCCGCCGCCCTGGGGGAAGTCCAGGTTAAGAAACGCACCTCGGGCGGAGACCCTGGTGAAGGGCTGCAGCCAGCTGAGCGCAGGGAGAGAGGTAGGGGAGTCGCCGGCCGTGGCGCCTGGGCAGAGGGCTGACAGGGCACGCTGGCCCGCCAGGCAGTTCGCAGAGAATCCATGTTCCTGCAGAAGCCGCAGGTGTCAGCTCAGGATAACTCTGCGGAGAGGGCCAGTCCAGCCCAGTTTGGGAAGGGGCTTTGCCTAGCTTGGGCCAGTGGGGCGGGAGGCTGTGGCCGGTGAGCCTGGACTCGGGTTAGGCGCGCTGGTGGGCGACACAGACAGCGTCCGCGCCTGGGGGATGGGGAGGAGTCGGAGGAGTGAGAAGAGGGGAGTGGGGAGGCGGGCGTTCTGCCAGAGAGGTGGCGGGGGCAGTTCAGTAGCAGCCACCTGAGAGCCCTGGTCTCTGCTGCCGCGCCACAGCAGGTATGTTTGACCGTCTGGGCGCCAGCGGGCTGGCGGATGTGTGGGTGGGGGACCTGCGTTACCCACCCAGCAGCCACCCACTGCAGGTGAGTGCCCTCCCGGGGAAGGAGAAGGAGGAGGGCTGGCCCTAGCTCTGGGATCAGGCTCGGATGAAAATGGGAAGAGGAACGGGACAGAGGAATAGGGGTTGAACAGGCCACTTCATGATGAGCCTATGGTCCCTATGAGGCTTCGGGGGTCCTTTTTTCTCTGAAGCTTGATCGCTCTCCCTGTCTCTCCCCCTCTCTCTCCTCCCTCCCATCCCTCTTCCCCCTCTGTCTCTCTCTACCTCTCTATCTTTGACATATTTCTTTAGGTATCTATCTGTCAGTGTCTCTCTCGGGTTTTCTCTCGCACTCTCTGCTCTGTGTGTCTCTCCCGATCTCCTTCGAACTCTCTTGGTCTCTGTCAGTCTTGAGCGCTCTCTCGCCCTGTCACTGGTGAGTACTGGCTCTCCCTGCTTGCTCTCAGTCTGTCCCGGCCCACGGCTCACCAACTCGCTCTCCCCAGACGCGAGACGTATACCTTCAGGGTGCAGATTTCCCAAGCGCGCAGTGTCCGCCTGCAGCCCTGAGGCTAGCAGTGTCTGCTCGTGGCTGGAGGCACTCCGTAACCCTGCTGTCTCATCTACCCGTCAGCGCACCGTCTAAGAGAGCCACCTGACGCCAAGCACACAGGCCACCACCCTTCACTTCGTGCAGAGCCGCCGAGGTGAGTACACCCAAGCCCGGTCTGCCCCTCTGATCCCGCCCCTGCTGCCCTGGTTCCAGTTGACTGGCGAATTCAGGCGGCCACAGTGAAGCCAGCCTGAGGCTGCTTTCCCCTGTGAAAAGCGGCAGGAGGGTCTGGGAGGCCCCTTGGGCTGCTGTTGTGCTTTGGCTGTCCGCTGCCCCATCCTGGCCTGGAACCCCAGCGTTTCGACGCCTGGGGTCGACGGGGTCGTGGGCAGGGCAGCGTGGCTTCCCCTTTAAGGCCGGAGCCGCTCATCGGCGTGAGTGTGAGGGTGTGTGAGTGTGCGGCGTGCGTGTCTCCTCCTCCCCGAGTGACACAGCAGTGAGAAATGCCTATCAGTAACTTAAACCCCCGAAACTCCACCTTCCGGGCGCTCGGCGCGGAGCCGGGCGGTGGGAATGGAGCGAGCATATTGAGGCCGCCACTGCAGCGCCGCCAGCATGAACTTGGCCGAGAGCTGAAGCGGCCGGCGGCGGGCGGGCGCGGGGGCACCGGCCGCTAGCCAGGGAGGGATCTGCAGCCGGGCCGGGCCACTCGGCGGGCGCCTGAGGCCAGGCTGCCTGCGCCGGCAGCCGCCCGCCTTCGGACACTGTTCCCGCCGCCTCGGGAGCTCCGCAGCGCGGTAAGGCTGAGGGCGGGCGAGGGAGGTCCGACTGCTCTGAGGGCGCCGGAGTGCACTTGTAGCTCCCACTTATGATCCCCATAGCTGAAAATCAGGGCTCCAGGGTGCTTCAAACCTGGGGACCCTAAAGTTTGTTCTGAACACACGGCCCACCTGGCGCGGCAAGAGGACGTCCCCCTCTCGGACCACCCTGGCCAGGCTGAGCGCCGCTCACAACGCCAAGGGCCTTGGCCTGTGCCTGCTCCTTGGCGCCCATCGGGTATCTGAAATCTGGCGGGGGCAGCCACGTACCGGGGAGGGAAGGTAGAGGGACGCAAGCCGCGTTGGGCTACCAGGAGGCTCCTACTCGGTCCCAGAGCCCCTCGGCAGCTTGCAGCGGGGTGCCACCGGCGACATTGCCTTTGCAGGTCACCTCCCCGAGCCTGGGCGGGTCGGCAGTCAGCGCTGGGTGCAGGATTTCCCCACCCCAACCTTGTTTGCCGCCTCCGAACCGGAGTGTGGAAGTGCGTGAGCCAAGCCCGCTTCCCTGCGCTCCCTCCCCCGCCAACTCCTCGGGAGAGCAGCCTTGAGCGGAGCTGGGGCTTGAGGCAGCCCGGACTGGGCTCCTACCCTGCGCTCCTAATGCTCCCGCGCCAGATTCTGCGCTCTGGGTTCCTGGGCATCCGTGCGGCAGCAAAGCCCGGCGCCCGGCGCCGGCGAGGGCGGGCGGGAAGCCCCCCGGAGCGCCGCCAAATACTTTTCTCCGCCAGTTGGCTTGGCCAGGTTCCGTCCCGATGCAGTGTGTCCGAAGCCTCCTGGAAAGCTGGTGATGTCGTCTGATTCTGATCTGTGATTAAATTCGGACTGAGCACACATTAATAGGATTAGACTGCCAGAAAACTCGGCCCTGAAGCCGTCGAAACCTGGGCAAACAGACGCGCCTCGGGCTGGAGCATTCACTCCCGCCACGCTCCTGCAGCTGGGTGCGGCTGAGCTGGACACCCCGAGTGTGCGTGTGTGTGAGCGGGCGGGAGCACAGGGTGGCTAGTGGACGTGGGGAGAAGGGATTCCCCCTGCTGGGTGGCTTGTCCTTGTTGTTTGGCCCAGAAGGAACCTCTCCTGGGGGGGGGGGCCCAGAACCCAAAGCAAACGTGCTGTTTGCGGGTAGCAGACCAAGGCCGGCTCTGGGACTTTGTCTGAGAGCCGAGATTACGAGAGGCGGCTGCGCTGGAACAAAGACGCAAAGTCTTTCCCAGCCTGAGCAATTTCGAAAGAGTTGGCTAGGGAGAGAGCCTGGGTCTCCTGGGGGAGACCCTCGCAGGAATCACGCCATCCCCATCAGCCCCAGTCCGAGGCTGAGGCATCATGTTCCCTGGCTATGGTGAGCCTGCCGGCAGCATCACAGCGGCGCGGCCCAGCTCTTGGCAGGCGTGGGCCGCCGCCAGGGTGCCCACCGGCCGGGCGGGGTCTACACTGTACCCGCTGGGGCTTCCCGGCCGCTACCGCAGCTCCGGGCCCCTGGAGGCCGCGCAGCTTCTTTCCTTCCCTCCCTCCCACCTCTTCTTGTCTTTATAGATTCCCCCTCCTTCCCACCCCCGCCGCCGCCGCCGCCAACAATCCGCTTTATAAAAAGCCCCTTTGTTTCCCAGGAGGCTGGAGAGAGGGAAGGGGAAAGGGACGCAGAGGCAGGGGGCGGGGGTGGCTGCCTCCAAGTGGCTTGGAGCCGCTTGGGACCGAAGGCAAGTGTAGGCGCTGGGGGAAGGGGCCGTGTTTCGAGGACCCTTCACGGGAATCCTGTAAGGCGCGGGGTGCCCTGGTCCCCAGCCCCAGCTGTGCACCCGGCGGGCCATGGTGGACTCCCTAAATCCCAGCGGCCCAGACGGCCTCACTAACTGCACTGTGAGCGAGCTGGCGGGTGCAGAGGCCGGAGGAGACAAATGCTCAGCCGGATGAGCAGACGCGACTAACTGATGTGACCGCAGGGCTCGGGCATAGGGGGCGCCCTTTCCTTGGTTTCGCTTTGCGGCGGGCGCCCATCGCAGCCTGGGCTCAGTGTGGCCGTTGCACCCGCTGGTGGGTGAGACGACACAGCTACTCCTAGGCTTTAGCCACCCGGTGTCTGGCTGCACGGGTAAAGCCTTCCCGCGCCCTCCTGCCGCACCCCCTCACTCCCCTCCACGCACACTGAGGGGCTCAAACTCTCCGCTTGTGCACTTTGTTTGGAGGCGCAGAGACAGCCGCCACCTCCAGGATTCGTGCAGCTTGGGCGGGCAGTGAGGACAAGCGAGCTTCTCTGGCCGATGCGCCGGCCTGCTGCCACTGTACCCACCCAGACTCTGGCACCTAGGGGCGTTCAACACGCTTAGGCTGCCGGCTTTGCTTGAAGACTTAGTGGGTCCCGGTCCCTTGCACCTGTCCCTCTCCAAAACTTGTGGGAAGTGGGCTTGCACTGAGAAATGTTAAATATAATGTTAGAAGTAACCTTTGGCCATTCTGTTGACCTGCATCGTCCCTGTCCCTCAGAGTGGTCAGTCTCTCTCGTGAAGTTTATTCGGAGACGGAACACTGGTAATTAGAAAAAGTGACAAATAAGGAGAAGTGGGCGGGGCCCAAACTCAGGCTAGTAGGTCTCCGGAGCTAGTTGGATTCCACCCGATCTCTCGCCGCCCACACCCCTCCTATTGCAATTTAATCTGATGTGGACGTTTTATTTGTGCCTTTTGCATCTTTTTACATCTTTCCCCCTTCTCGACTCCCTTCCCATCTCTGGAAGTTATTAATGAGTGCTGGTCAAACATTTTTTCTCTGGTCTTTGGAGAAGGTAAAGCATTAATACCTCCCCCGCCACACACACACCCAAACGCATCTAAAACCACAAGAAAGTAATCAAAGGGTAAACTACTGGCTCTACCTTATCCCCCCCCCCCTTTGTGCTTCTCTTCTGGAGCAAGATCATTGGAAAATCAAGCTGCTGATGTGCGAGATGGAACATATGGTGCCTCCATAAGAGAGAAGCTGAAATGGCCTTGAACCTGCCGGACAGACCAGCTGTTTGCTGCCAGCCAGAGCAGCTAATCAGCTTCTTTTCCTTAAAGTAACAGCCCTCTTTTCTCTTGATGACCAGTTTGCATGTTAAATAGGATATTCTCCAGAGGGGAAGAGTGATGGGCTCTTATATTGTTTTGTGCTTTGGTGGTTCTCCAATGCCTGTTCCCTGCTCTGGGGCCCCTCCTTGCCCTTTCTGGGTGCCTGCCTCCCGTGTGTGAGTGTGTTTCCTTCAATACTGATGCCAGAATGCTGCTCAAAGTGGAATTTGGGAAAGGGGAGGCAGGAAAATCAATCGAAAGAAAGAAATGGGGCTGAGAGATTTCCAGATGACTGGGAGGAAATCTCTCCGTTGTGTTCCTGCTGGCTTTGGAAAAACTAGCAGCCCTCCCCCTCCCCCTTTAAAAATATCACAAAGAGCTGAAGCTCTTCCTTACAAGATCTCCTTAAAAATCATCCTCTTCCGGCCATTTTCAGTTTTCCTTCAGTACAATGCATTTAAGTGGGGAGGACAGTTTGGCTTTGGAAAAAGAAAGCCTTTAGGAGATACAAGGAAATTCCATGTTAGGAAATCATTAGCAAAGGGTGACTTTGTCTGTTTTCCTGCCACTGACGCTGACAGTGACACAGATGTGTGGGTTGAAACAGGAACGTCATTGAATTTTTTAACTCAACTAGGAAATAGCCTGTTGCTGGGGTGGGGGTGGGGCTACACATGCACTTCAACTTAAGGTAGATTTTCTGTTATCAACTCTTCACTAAGGAAAGGGATTTTTTCAACTTGATGGGCGTGTTTAATGCTTTTTTTTTTTCCCCTTTTAAATTGATCACCTAAAGGCTTAACATGCACCTGTTAATGGACCATCCCTAGGGAACTCAATTACTACTTGGAATTATGAAATGAGAAGAAACTGATCTTAGACAAGTGGTTCTTCTGAAAATACTCAGAATACTTGTCTTTAAAGGGACTTCACATAAGCAGTCAATGTTTTTTATAAAGATTCTGATCTTTTTTCTGCAACAGTGCATTGTACAGATCATTACCCGGGGAGCTGGGAAAGTTGTGTTCTAAAAGGCTCTCTCCATTAATTAGCACAGTGATCTTGGGCAAGTCCATCCTCCCTTCTTGCCTCCCACTATGACCTCTGAATCTGAGTCCCTTCCAGCTCTAAAACACTATGATTGTTAGTCATTTTCTGGGGAAGTGAAACACCAAATTTCACCTTGTCATTGGGAAAAACCGGCTAGATAGATAATGAAATGGGGTCTGAGATTCTGAAGGGCAGGGATAAGAGAGAGGAGTAAGAAATGGCAGAAGACCAATCAAAACAAT